GTTTGACGCTGCGAACCATGGCGTCGGAGTCGTTCGTCTGAACGCCGATCACTTTGATGTCTGGGCGGACTGCTTTGATGTAGGCGGCCACCCCCGAGATCATCCCGCCGCCGCCGATGGCTACGAAGATAGCGTGAATCGGTTTTTGGTGTTGCCGCAAGATCTCCATCGCGATCGTGCCTTGCCCGGCAATCACGTCGGGGTCGTCGAACGGATGGACGAACGTCATTTCGTTGGTGCTGCTCAGTTCGTTCGCGTGTTGGTAAGCGTCGGTGAAGCTTTCGCCATGCAGCACCACATTCCCACCGAGTGCTTTGACCGCTTCGATCTTCAGCTTTGGCGTCGTCTTCGGCATGACGATCGTGGCGGTGCAGCCGAGATGACTTGCCGACAGGGCGACCCCCTGTGCATGATTGCCGGCCGAAGCACAAATAACGCCTCGCTGAAGTTGCTCTGGCGAAAGCTGGGCCATCTTGTTGAATGCCCCGCGAAGCTTGAAGCTGAACACCTTCTGACTATCTTCTCGCTTCAGCCAAACGTTGTTCTGCAGTCGCTTGGAAAGCTTCTCGGCACGTTCCAATGCCGACTCGTGAGCGACATCGTAGACTTGGGCATTGAGGATCTTACGCAGGTAATCCATCAGCCCGAGATGCGTACCATCTCCGACAAGACCACGCATGGCAGGCACCGAGGGACCAGACTTCGATTTAGGCGTTTCATTCATTCCTTTATTGGAAGCGAAGAACGCCTGGGGGTCTAGGGCTCTGTTGGGCGAGCGTGAACCCGATCGAGCAGAACCAGGCAAAACTCGGGAGCAAACGTAAACTCGTTTCGAGTCACGATGATCAATGGAAGACCATTCCGGAACTCGATCTCGATTCCTTCAAGGGCGTCCAAGACTTGCTCGGGAGAAGAATCGGCAAGGATCGAATTGCGGCGAAACATAGGATAAACCGCATCGATTTCATGGATCGGCCAACTCTTTACATTACGAAACCAAAATCCCTTGGCGCGGATGGTCTCTTCGTTGACTTCCACCCAGTGGTAGTCTCTCGATAGTTNNTGATCAACAAGCTTAATGCGACATACGGAATCGCAATAAGATTCGGCAAGGGTGTGAAGAAAATGGTGATCGACCACAGCGCCGTCCCCGAAAGATAAGCGGCAAAGAGCAGCGGGTTCCAAACAATGTTGGAAAAAAGGACAGCCCAGCGTTTCTCGCAGCGAACAATCGGGTTAGGTGGGGTGTTCATCGACGGGAACTTAGTACGTTTCGTTCGTGCTCCAGGAGCCACTTCTTTCGCCAAAGTCCGCCGGCATACCCGCACAGGTGACCATCGCTTCGGACGACACGATGACATGGAATAACGATCGCGAATCGGTTATCACCGTTGGTACGTCCCACGGCACGCGAAGCGGTCGGTCGCCCCAGCATTTCGGCAAGTTTACTGTACGAACACGTTACCGCAAACGGGATCTTCCGCAGCTGCTGCCAGACCGATTCCTGAAAAGGAGTACCGTCCATTCGCAGTGGCAAGTCAAAGGATGTTCGCGTTCCATCAAAGTACTCAGCCACTTGATTGGCCGTTTGTGCGAGCACCGCATGGCTGCCCGGCAAGATGGGTTGGCGATAAAGCTTGCTAATCCGCTGAAACTGTTTCGGCAGCATCTTGCGGTCGGCAAATTCTAGCAGGCAAAGTCCAGCGTCGTTCCCTGCGGCAAGCATGGGACCGAGCGGAGTAAGAATACGATCGACAAGAATCGGTTCGCCTGACTTGGCATCGGTCGGCGTTTGCCCGGTCCATTTCCGCAGGCTATCGCGGAAGCCACTTAACGACTCGAATCCGCTATCGAGTGCCGTGGACGTGACATCCAATCCCGTTTGCAGCATATCGACGGCCAAGCCAATCCGGCGCGTCCGCAGGTAAGCGTGGAATGTCATCCGATGATGCTGCTGGAACCACCTGCGAACACGAATCGGAGATAGGCCCATCGCTTCCAGATCGGCATTCGTCCAGCGGCGTGTGGGATCTTGTTCCAGTGCTTCGGTTAACTGCTCAAGCCAATCGGGGACGCTCCCGGCAAATT